TTTCATAACTTCTCGATCGCTGAAATACTTTTTGTGTTGAGCCAGGACCATGAAGCTATCGTAGCAGCCTTACCTTATGTTGGGCTGAGTGAAAATTGATTGCTGTCCTGCAAGCTTGTTTTTCAGCTCCCGCACTTTCTGAGTCTGTAATGAACTTTTAGTAGGGGAAATACGTCTTGTACCGTTTGTGCATCATCTTGAAATGCCACTTCAAGTTACCCTTTTTGGACAAGGCAGCGCTCAAATTACATATGAGGCAAATAGACTTCGAATTAGAAAAAACAAAATAATAGTCCTCCTCCCTCTCCGGGTGAAAATAATAACTTTTTGTTTCCTTGTCTGCTCGTTTTTCATCCTTTTTTCCCGCACTAGTAACTAACAACTCATATTACTCTGTTTTGTTTTTGAACATGTGACCCTAAARTCTCGCGATATCTTGTTYGGAGTRCTSCCTGTTTCACGGCACACAAAACTCGCGAGACGACGTCTGTGAAATGGGGAGGGCGGAGGGAGCGTGTTCAAGGCTGGAATGTAAACTCCTCCCGTCACCCACCTCCACCGCTTCTGCCCGAGTTAGAATGAAGCTCAGCTAGCGGACATGAGTCCCGGGCCGGAGTGCAACCTTGGTCTAACAGCTGACGAGCCGGCTCGTCAGCTGTTAGACCAAGGTTGCACTGCGCGGGTGACTGGGAACCAGCTGGCAGGCGACCAGTCGCCCGCGAGCGACTGGTTGGGCACCCTTGACATAAGACGTAGGACCGAGTTCATCAGGATGATTATTCCTCCATATGAGCTCCATCAGAATAAGATTCAGTCTAATCTGTCCAGTGCTACAGGAGATATTTTACTAACAGACATTAGGTGCAGATTGGAGTGTTTGAGACTCACCAGGAGTAGAGAGCTTCTTTATGTGAGGGTCMTCCAGAAAGCGGACCCTAAAACTCAGATGGTCCTCAGTGTGGCTGACTTCAGGTCCAGTGGACCTTCTGACAGAAGAACCTGAGCTGCAGGACCACAACAGATCAGATTAAAGACTGAACAGAAAACATTAGCACACATCTTTGAAATTTGTTTATTTTCTTCTTTCAGTCTTCCATCTTCTTGTTTAAGGTTGTTTATTTCATCAGTCTTTTGTAACTAAGTAACTGTTACCAAGTGAACATCTGCTCAGGTCTTCGTCAGAAAACCTGCAGAGTCTCCATCATTTCAAGTCTCTGTGAGCATAAATAACCAACATTGTTTCTGACTGCCTTATTTTAAGCCTCCACCCCAGTTCAGATTGATTTGCAGGAGGTCTGTGGAAAACTGTTTTGTTTTATATCCAAGTTCTCCAAGAGATTAGTCTTAGGTTTTTTTTCTAGAAATCTCTTGTCAGTACTTCTAGTTAGCTTGTGCAAAGCTTGATTTAGGTACTAAAAACAGCTGAAGACCAARTGTGTCTGGTCTTCACTTGGTGGTGCTGCTTTCACCAGAGGACTTTTCATCCTCAGAGTGATGCTGATCATTAGACATGTGCTCCTTCATGCTACAGTAGCTGTTTCCATTGCAAATCTGCGCAAAACTGTCGATATTCTGTTAATGTCGAATAAAAAGGCTTTGCAATTTCAGTGTTTCCGTTAAGAAATGCTACTAAAATCACGCATGAATACGTTTGTTCTCACGATAAGTCATTACAAACATGGCATCAACAGAATCAGCATCAGAAGCGTTTTTTTGTCATTCACACACAACATCAAGATGCAGTGTAGAACGAAATGCAGTTTAGAATATCCGTCAGGAGAAACACACACACGACAAACACGGGGGGGAACGAATGTCCAGGGTCCTTCGCAACTTAGTGCGCTACCTTTGCAGTTTAGAATGCACACACAATAGGAAGGATGAGTTAAAAAAAGAGATTTGATCCTGTGTTTTATGCAGAAAACACACAAACATACGCTCAAAAAAACTACTCTGCAAAACAGTGCAATCAGCTAAGGAGGGGAGGGGGTGGGGGGTCAAAACACATGGAATGGGGGAGGGATGCAGCGGAGCCGGTGACTTCCAGGGCAAACTTAGTGCCAGAACCGATCAGAGACCTCMAGAGTCCAAACCASTTGTTATCAGTCAAAGCACAATTCACTAGAGTTCTGTTCTCTATTTCCACTCAACGCATTTAATGGACTCAACTCATTTCTTTGCTGTTTTGAATCTAACATGTYTGTAATACCCCCATCACAAACTAAATATAGGAAATACTCCATCTCCCCGTGAATCCAAACAGCACCATCATCATCATCCTGCTACTCACTGTTATCTTCTTCGTCATCGTCTTTTTCGCCAGTAGAAACATCCGGTTGTTGATCACATGACTCCTGTGATGTGTAGGGGTAAGATCTACATCTTCTCATAACTAAAGTTATGAGAAAAATCACGAGTTCTTCTGTTTTTGAAATAATACCTTCTCTGTGGAATTATGAGTGGACATACTCAGTAACTTAGTTTTATCTAAAATAAATGATATTTACTTTCAGAATAAAATAAATTACTTATGTACAACTCATTGAGGGACAATTAGATTTTTACAAAAGTTGAAATCAACAACATTAACACACGTCAGGGTTAATTATCATTAATTTGACAACTTATCAGGAACAACAAACTTGGCTTAAGGTCTTGAATAAACCATCGTTTGCRGTACGGTTTTGGCAGGGAATGAGCAAATATTAAGAGAATAGAGAGAAAAAGAGGGTTAAGGAAATAACTAATGTTTATCTTATCAATATGAGGAAGTCAGAAGTGCTCACGAGTCTCCCACTCGACACAGATGGACATCGGTGTGCTTAATCAAACAATTCAGCCTCTAACTTTTCAGACGACTTCACAGTCAGGTCGGGTGTTGAGGAAGTGCTCGTCAGGTCAGCAAGAGGTCCGTTTAGGTTCACTTACTGTCCAGTAAGACAGTAACGTCTTGATGTCTGCATGATCGAACAGAGTCACAGCAATCCAGTTCCTCTTCCAGTCTAAGAGATCTCTCACACAAGTTTTGAAAACTCAGTGGAGTCTCAAAAACATAGTTTGGTCACGGCTAGTGGTGCCGAAGACCTGGGATAAGATCAGCTCCTTGGCAAGTGAGCGGACATCTTTTCCCTGAACGCTGGTTTCTCTGAGGAAGAAAAACCAGCTCCTCTTCGCTTGAAACGAAGGTGGTTTCTGTCAGGGGAGGGGGTTAGTCCGTTGTTAGTATACAAGAGAGAGGGTACTAGCAGACGTGACCTCGGAGTTTGTGTTATTAACAGGTGGACTGGAAGTTTAGTCTAAAACGTTTCAGTCGTCTGGTAAACACTGCACATATACGTAGGAAAAACAAGTTCAGGCTGTGCCGGTCTCAGTTTTTAGGATTAATTCTCAAAGACAAGGAATTAGGTTTTCAATAAAACTCTGAGGTAAATTATTTAAACCAACATGAAACTTAAGATATTTTGTTTAAAACTTAAGCACAAATAACCATATATTTTTCATAGTAAAACATAGTGAACTAGACCATAGTTACAGTTTTAGTTAAATTGAAAAATAAAACAGAAAAACATATAATCACCTTAATGT